TGGGGACAGTGATGATTGTAGGTCCCAAATCCATATCTGGGGTCAGTGTTTGGGGACAGTGACAGCCCAAAGCTGCATTTGGGGACAGTGATGATTGTAGGTCCCAAATCCATATCTGGGGTCAGTGTTTGGGGACAGTGACGGCCCAAAGCTGCATCTGGGGACGCTGAGGGCCCCAAATCCATATTTGGGGACAGTGTCTGGGGACGCTGCCGGTGCCGGAGCCGCATTTGGGGACAGTGTTTGGGGACAGTGACGGCCCCAAAGCCACATCTGGGGACAGTGAGGGTCCCAAATCCATATTTGGGGACAGTGTCTGGGGACAGTGACAGCCCCAAAGCCACATTTGGGGACAGTGAGGGCCCCAAAGCCACATTTGGGGACAGTGAGGGCCCCGAATCCATATTTGGGGACAGTGTCTGGGGACAGTGACGGCCACAAAGCCACATCTGGGGACACTGAGGGCCCCAAATCCATATTTGGGGACAGTGTCTGGGGAGGCTGAGGGCCCCAAATCCATATCTGGGGACAGTAACAGCCCCAAAGCCGCAACTGGGGACAGTGAGGGCCCCGAATCCATATTTGGCCGGTGTCCGGGGACAGTGAGGGCCCCGAATCCATATTTGGGGACAGTGTTTGGGGACAGTGACGGCCCCAAAGCCACATTTGGGGACAGTGAGGGCCCCGAATCCATATTTGGCCGGTGTCCGGGGACAGTGACAGCCCCAAAGCCACATCTGGGGACAGTGAGGGCCCCGAATCCATATTTGGCCGGTGTCCGGGGACAGTGAGGGCCCCAAATCCATATTTGGGGACAGTGTCTGGGGACAGTGAGGGCCCCAAATCCATATTTGGCCGGTGTCCGGGGACGCCGCGGCGCCGGAGCCGCGCGGTTTCCGCTGCCGACAGAGGCCGGGGCTGGGCAATGGCTGCAGGGGAAGGAGCTGAGGGGCCCCCCCGGCCCTCTCCCTTCTCCTCCTCCCCACGGATCCCAAAAGGGATCCCAAAGGGGATCCCAAAATGGATACCAATGGGGGATCCCAATGGGGGGATCCCAAAGGGGGGATCCCAAAATGGATCCCAATGGGGGATCACAAAGGGGGGATCCGAAAGGGATCCCAAAGGGGATTCCAAAGGGGGATCCAAAAGGGGATCCCAAAATGGATCCCAAAGGGGGATCCCAAAGGGGGATCCCAAAGGGGGGATCCCAAAGGGGGATCCTAAAGGGGAACCCAAAGGGGGGATCCCAAAATGGATTCCAAAATGGATCCCAAAGGGGGATCCCAAAGGGGGGATCCCAAAGGGGGGATCCCAAAGGGGGATACCAAAGGGGATCCCAAAGGAGATGCCAAAAGGGGATCCCAAAAGGGATGCCAAAGGGGGGATCCCAAAGGGGGATCCCAAAGGGGAACCCAAAGGGGATCCCAAATTGGATCCCAAAGGGGGGATCCCAAAGGGGATCCCAAAATCCCACCCCAGCGAAGGGAGCTGCGGGCTCGGGGCGCCGGCGCCGCTTTTGGGGCCACTTCCCGGCCCCACTTCCCCCCTGCCCCGGGGCCTCCCCGGGCCCGGAACTGCTGCTGCTCCCGGGGCACGGCTGGGAGACCAAAGTTGGGTTTTTTTAGGGAAAACGGGAGCAAGGAGGAGCTGGAAGTTGTTCACGGCTTGTGGGGGAATGGGGTGGGCGAGGCTGGGGGGTCCAGGGATTTTAAATCCCAATTTCGGGCACCCCCACCTTCAGCCAGACCCCGCGGGGCTTTGCGGCTTTGTCCTGCCAAACACGATCCCCAGGGGAGAAAAACTCCTGGGGAGGTAAAAAGAGAAATAGCCAGCAGGTAAAAAGCCCAGGGAAGGTAAAAACCTCTGGAAAAACTCCTGGGAAGGTAAAAAGAAAAATAGCCAGCAGGTAAAAAGCCCAGGGAAGGTAAAAACCTCTGGAAAAACTCCTGGGAAGGTAAAAAGAAAAATATCCAGCAGGTAAAAAGCCCAGGGAA